ACGCGGAGGGGCGGGGTTAGTCTCGCAAGGCTCACCGAGGCTTTCAAGGCGCCTCAGGACAGCCGCCCTGGAGGAGGGGACTGCGGCCGGGAGGGGGCAGCAGCTGCCGCAGGGCCCTGGTGAGGCCCCCGGCCCCTGTCGCCGCGGAGTCACCTACAGGTGCAGGCCGCGAGTCGATGGGTGACAGGAGGCGGCAGGGCGCTTCTCGGCAGTGCCCCATTCTCGCAGTAGCCCCCCTTCTCGCAGTAGCCCCCCTTCCTACTCGTGCTGTGGCAGCGCCTGCCGCCAGCTCCCAGCGCCAGCTGGCTGCCCTTCACAGCCTTGGCTTGGAGGTGCTTTCCCCTTCCGGATTATCTATCTGTTATCCCGATTATCCGATCAGTGCTAGATCGGTATTTTGCAATGATCTATTTGTTCCCTTTTGCCTCCAAAGCACCAAAACAACCGATGTTTGCCCATGCAGATTGACTTTCTTTCAATGCATTCTTGCATTACCTATTCTAGGTATACCCACGCTTTTCATCCAAATACATGATTGCAGGGATCATTTCTGTTTAAAGTTTAGTTCACCGACAGCTTCTTTTTAAAAACACTTCCGTGTGCTGGTAACTATAAATCCAAGCACGTTCAGTTCAGCGTCACTGAACCAACCAGAAAAGTAACACTGAAAAGATCTTGAAAGAAAGAGGTGGGGTGCTGGCTGTAAGGAGCGAATTGCCACGTGAGTATCTGAGGCAGGTCGGAGAGACAACCACAAAGAAGAGAGGGGGGAAAGAAGACTTTTCACACCACTTTTATTCTTCTGGATTATTTTGTAGATGAAAAGCATAAATGTGCAGCTCCTGATGAAGTAAAAATCTTAACAACGGTGTTAAGTATTTGCATATAGTATAGCTTTCATAGCTTCCAAAATTAGTATTAGAAAGATAGATGTGAATGTGGATTTCTTTAGTTGTGGTTATGCATAGAAGCTCCTTTATGCTATGATCTTTTCAGCCGTGTGGTTAAATGTAGTTACTACTAATCTAAACATCAACGTCTCTTAACACCTTGCAAAACAATTTGTCAGGAATATTGCAGGAAGACAGAGAAAGGTAGCTCTGAAATCTACAGCTGTACTGTTTCAAACAGCGTAACTCCATCCAACTTTGTGAGTTCCAAACCTGCCCAAGAGGTGACTTTATGTAATGCTGTAAAAAAGCAGTTTTCAGGAACTATTTAGATAGGAGAGGGTAAACCTAGACACCAGGTTTCCTCTTAAAATATATTTATAGGAATTTCGGTATTTCACAAATAACCTGCTTCTGTGACTGAAACACCATACGGACTATTTGTGTACTCCTTCTTGGTATTTACTCCTGTTGGAGGCATAGTGTGACATAAGGGGTGTCAGGCATTTCTCTGGATTAAAACTTACTTTCTTTGGGGCTATAAATGAAGGCGATGCAATATGTGTGCTGTAGACAGGAGCATGCAATAAACAGGAAGGAATGAAGGGGATATGTATTTATTGGATGGTAAGATTTTTCAGGAGCACTGCTCTGAAGTGGCATTTAAACGTCACCTTGTCGTCAGAGCTGAAGCTCTCTCCCTGCCCACCAGCAGCACGTGCCAAACCAGCTGACGGGCCGTGTACGGTTTTTGCAGGAACAGCCAGAGCTGGACTCGCCTGAGCACCCGGCAGAGGCACGCGCTGCTGCGGGACAGCACCGCATGGGAGGCAGAGCGTGGCTGGGCATGCAGCGGGGCTAACAAGGAAGGGGGTGGGCCAGGAGTACCTTACAGATTTCTCCAAGTTTTTTTGCTCCTAGAATTGGCAAGACCCCAGGGTTGTCTTTTACCCGGGATACCCTTGTATTTCAGTAAACTAATTCAGGACTACTAATCCTTTCAGTAGCTGTGTGCTCAGTGAACTGCTCCTGCAACCGATGAGAACCCAAAGTACAGCAGAGCTGGCTGATGAAGCATATATCTACTTGCAAACCTGATCATCATTCATAACTTGCTATGGCTGTCTGATTCAAGATCCAGGACTGGAATTAAGCTATATAACTATATGTTGGGCCAGATCCTTACTTTACACAGCTGGGGACATCTGCACAGACTTGAGAGGTCTTGAGTGGAAGCCAGCATGATCCTGCCTAGACCTGCAACATTTCTGACAGAGTTTGCCTTGGTGGTGGTCTCTGAGTGAAAGGAGAGCAGTGTGCACTTATCTTGGGACAGCTCGCATCTGGTACGGGTGTGGGGAGCTTGTGAGGGCAAAGCAACCATCCTCCCGTGGCCTGGGCTGGCCCTCGGGGAGCACAAAGGTGAATTTCTGCAGGAGAGTGGTAAAGAAAATAAAGAGCTCCATCCTGGCCAGCTGTTCCCCCAGGCAGGCACGGCGACCTGCAAGAGAAGGAGTAGAAAGTGTCCGTGAAAGAGGACATTAAACCATGCTGGAATCGCCGCGGGAGGAGCAGATCACCCCTCCTGCTGTGCCTCTGACTTGCAGCTGGATCCTCCCCTCAGATTTACCTGCTGAGAAAGGCAGGAAGGCCTCTGGTTTCACAAACTGCCCATTCGCATCCAGGAAATGTTCCGGGTAAAACTCGTTTGGCTTCTCCCAGACTGCCTCATCCTTCAGCACGGAAGACAAGTTGGTGATGACTGTCGTCCCCTGTGCTCCTCCACAAGAGGAAACAACTTACGTGAGAACAGCAGCATTATCTTGGCACAACGGATCAGTGCTTGTCCCTCTTCGCTCTGTGTCTCCCATCTAACAGCAACCGTTGTTCGGTGCTTCAGAATAAGGCACCGATCTCTTCTGTATCTTATTTAAAACAGAGGTAAAGCAGGGCACTTTTCCAATGACATATGGTGCCTGCCCTATGCTCTGACGCATCTGAACTTTTGCAATTTGTATCCTTACAAAGGCCATTGCACGCAAATGCCGATTTCATGCTTACACAGTGGAAACAGCCTCTGCTTCTCAGATCCTCCTGGACTTGTTTTATAGCTGGAGAGAAAAAGCTGACTGACAGACTTCAAAGCCCAGCTTTCGCAGGGGCCATGGGAAATTGCAAAGCTTTCCTGTTTCACATGTCAATGTTCTAAGCTAGAGAAGATATCACAAGGCTAAAAAAAAAAAAAATCCCAGGTTTGCATTGGTACCAGTGCTGCCAGGGCAGCTGCCTGTCACAATGGTGGTGGACTGAACGCCACTGGCATTTGAATAGCTTCAGAGATTAGAGTTTTAATTACTACCATCCTAGGAAAGCCAGTAAGCTGGTGTCGTGTGCCTCCAGAGAGCCCATTAGGCTCCGTTACCTTCTCCTTCCAACACAGGCAGGGCAGCAGATGTCACAGCTCATCGAGAGGAGAGCAAACCTTTGCACTGAGCCGCCACTGCCGTTGCGTTCCCACATAACCAGCACAAACCTAGAGCACGACTGTCTGCCTGATCTTAGCATTTCAAAACGCCCTACTTCAGCGCTCGCCAGTGACTGTGATTCGGGGCTGGAAGCGCAACGCTGCAGAGTTGCGCGGGGTCACTCACACCCCGGGCCTGGCGTCTGCACAGGGAGAGGATGCTGCCTTGCCTGTCTGGCCATGGTCACCTTGGGAATGAAGAAGCCTTGCAACTCGGTGTCCCGGTATGTCATGTGAGGTAGTCCAACAGGAGTGACATCCCCGTAGCGTTGCACTTCATGGATCACAGCATTGGTGTAGGGCATGCTCGCTTGGTCCTCCATGGTGGGTGATCTCTCTCTGCCAATCACCTTATCAATCTCTGCTTGGACTTTACCTGAAAGCAGCACAGCTAAGGAATTAGAGTGCCCTTAGGTAGGCAGAAGGGGCTGGTACAAGCTGTAGGAAAGCCAGTGGCATGAGATCGGTAGACACTGGGTGAGAGCAGGACAAGCAGTTAGAGAAAGGAACAGAAACTAGAGGGGAATGTGTTTGTTTTCAGTTGCTCAGGGCCATCGGTGTAACTATTCTTTGTGCACAGCGTCTTTAATAAAGTTCTTGTCACGCGACATGCTACCTTACCCCTCCTTTATGCAGCTGAAAGGGTACCTGGGCATGCAGCATTAGAGAATTAAAACAGATTAGGATCTATCCCAAATATAGGAAGGTGGGTACTCTGGCCACTGGAAGTCCTCAAGTAGCCTTCAAAATGAAGGAGGGCGCGAACTTGCCCTTCCAACTCCACTCTTTTCATCAGTACTTCCCCGCCCCGACACCAGGCCCTGCCAGAACAGCTATGTGTGGGACGTGTTTCTCCTGGCTTCTGCTAGACCAACAGTCACCAAAGCTGTTCCTCATTGCAAAATCCCCAAACCATGGAGAGCAGATGTTCAGTCTCCTGGCAGAAAAATGAGGGTTGAAGGGAACGTGCCACACCTCTGCCTGTCCTCTCACTTACTCTGTATTTCTGGGTGAAGAAGCATGTACAGAAATGCCCACCGGAGAGTGGTGGAGGTGGTCTCAGAACCAGCTGTAAACAAGTCTGCAGTCACCAGACGAAGGTTGTTATAGTTGAAACCATTCTCTTCAGCCACCTTACCCTGCGGAGAGGAAACAAACGGGTGATTGGAGCTGGGGTACTTGCTGGGTGAGAAGACCGTTGTTCCAAAGAAGTACTGAGAAGCACTAGATCCGTTTTTGCTGACCAAGAAGTTCATTGGGGGAGTAGAGCACAACACAGGCAACGGTCTGTGTATGACTGATGTACTTCGGGAACCCCGTTACCGCCTGTATTTGAACGTCATCAGTCACCTCCTGTATCCTGAGGGATGAACGCCACACCTGCCTTCAGGACAGAAGTGGACGCCTTGTGCCTTCAACTCAAACAGACGGCAGGCCCCAGCCACTTGCTGTAACATCCTCCCCCAGAGGAGGTGGAACACAGTTATTCAGGTTTGATCAGATCATAATACCCACGCAGTAGAGAGGAGGCTGCATTGATGTGGCAAATGCAAAAGTAACAGTATTTTGAGGGAGTTATCTATAGCTACGCATTACAGATTCTTGCTGCTTCTGCCCTGCTATTTTCTTACAATCGAAAATAAAAAAAAAGATCAGGGTGTCATTGCTGCCTATTAAGTCTGCAACACCAATTTCAGCAAAACTGGTCTCTCATCCAAATGCTAATTGAGCTCAAATTTGTTAGCATATGAGATATGACAAGCTCTCTGCATGGGTTCATCTGCTTGTCTTTTCTAATCCTCTTTA